AATTACAGAATCGATGCTCTTGAAAAGAAAAAAAAATTAAAGAAAATTAAAAGTATTTATAGAATAGTATTTATAGATATAACAGAATTGTTAAGACCTTGTATCGGAAGCCAGCTTAAAAGCATAATATTGTAATTTGATCTTCCTACAGCCTTCAGTAACTAGCACAGCCCACATAGTGACTATTGTGAATATTCCAAATACCGCTAGTACATAAGGCCACCAGTTTATCGCACTTCCTGAAATTTTAAGGAGAAAATGCATGAATCCAGAGATGGAACAAAAAAGAGTATTCCAATCCATCAAACTGTCAAATTTATAACTGAAGTGAGGGACAATGGTATTGAAACATGGCTTGAAATAACAAAGAGCATCTTAAGTAAAGGATCCAGACTTCCAGTCTTCACTAATTATAGGTAGATTAAAATTTAGTGACATAATCATGCAAAATTCATTCACGCGTGAATGCTATGTAAAGTTTGCTGTAGAAAAAAACGAACAAGTGACTTAACAAAGAACATGTAGAAAAGTGTCTCAATACAACAAAATAATTAATCTGATCATAATATTTTCTTTTAAAATATATGATTAGAGAAACAACTAGGCAGATTTATGTGCTTCCATTTAATCTTTTGTTTGTATTGGTGTCCAACAATATGTGCTACTTGAAGAGAGGCTTTCTTTTCCAGAGGCTTTCTTTTCCAGAGGCTTTCTTTTATTTCTTTTTGCATGAAACTGTTAGACTAGTTATTCTTCTTTTTTTGTCTTCCGGTTTCTGTTTTTTTAATTTGTTTCGTGTAATGTGCAGCAAGAGGAAGTAGGTTGCATGTGTCTGTGTAAGTGCCACTTCTATTTCCGCGTGTCGACACAAACATTGTCAATGTATATTTCTCAGAGAGCAAGTAATGATCAGACTGAGGATACATACATATGCTTGCACCTCAAGAGAATGCACACAACTGAAATGTCTGATATTCTTTTCTGAGAAAAGGATGCTGATTGCCGTGTCCATTAAATTATTATCAGACTATTGACAGGAGCAAAGAGCTGTTATGTGCAGTAGATACTAAATCAAGGTTTTAAATGTCGGATGTCGGGTTCATATCAGACGTTGAAATCCATGTCGGATAGCGAAAATCGGGGATATATCGGGGGATATAGACTAAATATCGGATTGCCATATCGGGTGGTGCGCATATGTATAATATCATGTCCTAAATATAATCTAAGCATTCCTACATTCAATATAAGCATACTTTATAAATCCTAGAGGCGGCGCCGGCGATGGGTGGATTCCGACGTCGCAGGGAGACAGTGCTGGCGACAGGACGTGTCGGGGCTCTTCTTCTTCTTCTTCGTCTGCTCGGGGTCCTTCGGATGAGTCACCGACCACCCTCTTCCCTTTATCCCGACGACGAGATACCCTGCCGCCCTCGGGTTCGGTTGGGGTTCGGATTTCAGGGCGCAACGGGAGATAAACGACGGGGGGCCGAGATGGAGGTGGAGGAAGGACATCGTCATTCACAAAAAGAGTGATGGGTTCCTAAGTCTGTTGCAGCTCTAAGTTTTCTCTTTTCTTTCTATCGGGTTCATAAGAAACCCTTAAACATGAGAACGGGTCAAACGGGTTTGGGTTTTTATCACTAAACCCAAATCCGATAACAAAAAATAGATTAAAAAGAAAGGCCATATCGGCCGATTTTTCAAAGCTGAGAAATCGGCCGATATGCCCGATATGGCCTCGATATTTTCGATTTGGCCCTGAAAACTGACATACGAGTTGAAAACGCACATGTCGTGTCGCTCAAGCCCTCAAACCGACATGTCGGACATGTCGGCCGACATTTAAAACCATGTACTAAATAAGTGTGATGATGTAGTGGTCTCTGTGCAGTATATCTACAAAAGTTATACTACTAATTTACTAGATATATTACATTTTTATTGAATACAACAAACAAATAAATATTAATATATCTAGGAAAAAATCAAGGCAGAAACACCTGAAGTCTACCTGAAAGCTGAGACAGCATCTTGTGCAATGTATCCGTGTAGCCAGTCAATATTCCCACACATATTATCAATGATGATCCTTGACCTAATTACAGATAAAGACAGATAAAGACAAATCAGAGGAGCATCCGCAGCTTAGGTTTCTAATGAATATAGTAAAATTTACAAGGTCAGTTTCTACTATTTGATTGAACACTATTAGATTTAATAAATAATATGTTTTAGGTACAAAAATTGACCAGTCATAGAAGAACATTCTGGCATCCAAATCTGCTAATACGTTACTTGATCCTATAGAGAAATTAGGCAAGTGTAGTCTATATATAATGCATCATGTGATGCAATATGGTCATGTGGTAACATCATGATTAGTAGGTCGACACCTTTCATGGTAGATCAAAGGTTTTGTAACACTTTCAAGTTCTCAACTATAAATAAGACCCAAAGGGAAGAGAGTTAATCAAGCTTTCTTGTTCTCTCCTGTTCTTCACTTCCTCCCCTTCTATTTCGCATTTGTATCAGAGCCAAAGTCCTAATACTAGAGACTCTCTCTTCTTGAAAGCACATGAAAATTTATATAGCTTCTCAAGAATCTAACCTTTTATGCTAGGCTGGGAATAATATTTGCATCAGTCTAAAGAGTTAATAGAGCATATCACGAAGTAATCTGCTATTAATAATGGTAAAATTATGAGAATATGTTTTGAATTCGTACCAAAGCCTGACTCTGATATGGTATCACAGATCCAAGTCATAGACATTGCGCCGAGAACCAAGAAGAAGCTTGTCACAATGACGTGCTTGAATCTGAAATAAGCAACAGATTGTTGATGACAAGGTCAAAAGAAGAGAACTACTACAGGAAATGCAGTTTCAGATACTCTTTCATAAAAAAGTATTTAGCTCTTGAATTCATTAATACAGAATTCATGTCCTTTTATTTAAGCTCTTTGGCGTATATTGTGCTCTGAACAACTAGGTTCTATGCAAGACCTTTTTTTCAAATTTTATGCAAGACTTTTGTCTGTCCATAGTTTCCTCGACCATGAAAAATATGTCAGGTTGACCAGCATAGCATAAAAGCTATCCAATATTTTCTGGAACCTTTTCAGTACTGAGCTATGCTAAATAGACATACTCATGTTGATGTAGAGAAGATGATAATGATGTTAAAATTCATTATTTTTGAGCCAGAAAATTATAGTCTTTACTACATGATTGTTAGAAACAAGGTTTTCTAGAACAATTAGCATTTAGCAATATTGAGATTTAGATTCATGAAATGGTAGCAAACAGCAGTTACAGCTATAGTGCTGCATCACCTGTGGCTAGCAGCATATACAGAGTACTGGAGTGAATAACATGCAACAATGACACCTTCAAGTATTGCGAACCCCAGTGAGATCCACCATCTGCAACCGAGAAATCATTAAAATTAAATGGAATGATCATTTTATGCTCACAACATCATTGTACAATAAAATATGCTAATAAGGATCAGTTTTACTGCTTGAGATGAGTAATTAGACACACATATAGCTTTTAATCTTCTCATGGCCATCTAACCCTTCCTTCCGCAGTTTGACTAGTGATGGAATAATGTGGCAAAGTACCTGCAAAGAACTTTGAACATTGTATAATCTAGTATTTAATGAGTCATATTCAATGATTTGAATCTTAAGACGAAAAAGTCACTGGTTGACACAATACACACAATTTTATACTGCAATAGACCATGAAAAAAAGCAACACTATGATGAAATCACAAAGAGGTGGCACAAAAACAAAGCAAAGAAATGTAGAAGGTAAAGTGTAATGCCTGCATGATGATTGATGCTGCTATCTGAGGGCTGATTCCAAGTTGGAAAAGCGACAATTTCAGCTCTGACGTAAAGTCGCCAAGCTCATCTGCACACAGAACAAAGACTAATTATTTCACCATCTGCCCGATTAACTAAGAGATAGTAATCATTATCCATAAGCATACAATAGCAGCAGTGAGAGTGCGCCACCATACTTTATTTAGGTTTATTTAACTTTTATATTCCCAAATTTCAACAAAAAATTAACTTCTATATTCCCAAAAGTTCAACAAAGTTAACTTTGATACCACAAACTTTTTTTTTTTGGGTTAACTTTTTGTTAAAGTTTCGGGTATCAAAGTCAAATTTTGTTGAACTTTGTGGTATTTATCAGGGGAAAAAAGGTTTGGGGTATCAAAGTTATTGAAGTAAACCTTGGGGTACTTTTTTGGCCAAAAAACATCTGGTTTATCAAAGTTAAAAATGAGGACTTGGGTGTATTTAAGTGCAAATAACCCCTTTATTTAGTAGGGCACTTAGATTACCATATTAACGACACACTGATGTTCTCAAGAAAGTGCATCCAAGCAGTAGATTTACTATTGTCAATGTTAGAAAACCTTAAACCTTTCAAGAACATAGTCATTTCAAATGAAATTTATTCAATTTTGACATTCTTGTGATACAAAGACATAATAACATAGGTCGCTAGAAACATACCCACAGATCCAGCGGCAAAGCTAAGGTAATTATCAGGAATGAGTCTTCTGTCGAAACCAGGTAGTGGAATAAAATAGCCGATACGGTGACGAGGATCAGAACAGCCGTCACAAACAAACCGTCGCCGCTATCTCACTCTTGAAAAAAGCTTCCGCCGCATCACTGATCACAGTCCCCAGCCGAGCGAAATTCAAGAACCTATTCTGAAATCTGTTCGGTCTGGGTCCAATAGAATCTAGCCCGCCGACCGAAATCCCCAATTGGGGTTCCTCGTGGTTCAAGGATTGCAATTGTAAGGCTTCATCCTCGTCACTCGCATATTTTGTTGGGGAATGGTCTATGCAATTAACATAGAATTTCCTCTGCTTGTTAAATAAAAGCACTGGGTTTGAGTGCAATGGAGACCGGAGACTAATATATTTAGGTGACATTCCTCCTCCGCCTGTTGTCAATGTAAATAGAACCCAGTATAAGCAATATTGGATTCCTTATATTTGCCCATGAATGGTTAATAACGATAATTATGATTATTGTTAGTGATTACAATTAAAATGGTCGAAAAACCTTTGGCTGTATAGAAATTAAAAAAGTGCATAATCCGAAAAGAAAATTTTTGAAAAAGATAAAGAAAGAGGTGTGAAGCATACAATAAAACAACTGGCCATGGCGCAGATTGAAAGGATGAAGACGACGGCGATGATGTTTGAGTTCGCTCAAGCTGAACCTCGCCGTCGCCGTAGCAGCTGCGTAGCAGCTGCGGTCGCCGCCATTAATAATTGAGACGATGAGCAAGATCCTGGCTTTCTTGGTTCTCTTTTATCGTCGAGTTCGCTAGGACAAAACCCTAAACCCTCTTCTGTCCTCGTGGATTATTACAGTGAGCGACTCCCACTCGATAAAAGAGATGAACTTGGAGAAAGAGGAATTTCACATAACCCACTATATTCTCGGCCATTTTGAGATAACCCCTCTACGTTGGGGGCCTATTGGCTTTTTTACCCTAAAAAAATTAACTTTCAAAATATCATAAAACCCCCCTATAAGTTTAGGGGTTATCAGAAAGCTCCTAATAACTTTGAGGTTATATTAAGAAACCCCCTAGTTTAGGGGGATTTCTAATAAAATCTCAAAGTTAAACAGGATTTTTTGATAAAATATGAAAATCAAATGGGGGTTTTGTGATAATCTCTACACCTAAATTTTCTAGGTGTAATTTTATTTGTCTTGGTTGGGGGAGGGGGTGGTTGTCTCCGCAATCGCCTGAAGTTAAGTGGTGTTTTCTGATATTTACCCTTTTTTTAATCGTCCATACTTAAGAGGATTTCATGATAATTGGCCTTTGCAATAAAATCTGGACCTTGCAATTAGTTGCAAAGGGCTCACATCATTATCATTTACCTCTGATTGGCCTTTTTTTTAAGAGTGTTGTTACGGGAACCCCAAATGAGGGGACTCTGTGGGGGACAGGTGAGGTGGCAAGTCCTCACTGGGTGCTGCACTATTCATGAACAGTGCAGCACCCAGTGAGGGCTTGCCACCTCACCTGTCCCCCACTGGGTCCCCTCATTTGGGGTCCCTGAGGCATTTTCCTTTTTTTAAATGCTAGACGTACTAAGAGTTTTACTACTTTTGTACTACTACAACTCATAATTTCTTTTAAAATTTCTACCATAAGTTGTAGACTAAATGGTAATTAAATACCCTAATATTTCACTACATTTACACTTCAATACCCTAAGTTGTAAAAAGTAAAATAAAAATAGTCTAAGTTATTAAAAAGTAGCACATTGCTACCTTCTGCTAAAATAGATAACAGAATATTCCCATCTGCATAGTACACAAGAATCTCATTATTGTATTACCCTTATTTATTTCTTTAATTAACATTTTACCTACCCCTTTAATTTATTACTACTATTTTAATGAAAGGTGTTTTGTCAAAAACTAATGGTGTTAGCATAATTTTAATTGTGGACAACTTGGACTATTTTTATGCTACTTTTTACAACAACTTAGGGTATTTAAGTGTAAAGATAGTAAAACATTAGGGTATTTAACAGTCATTTAGCCTAAGTTATATACTACATTTGTACTCTCACTAAAAATATGTGTAGGGTTCTTTCTTGAAAATTGACAAGAAAAAATGTGAGTCGCTATGGAGCTAACTCGTCTGTTTGTGTTAATACAAAAGTATTACAAAGTGTTATGTACAGTTACAATTACTCTAATTTCTTTTTGCAATTTTTAAGGAAGGGTCTCACTTCTTTGTATGTAGTGGTAGAGAATAGTACAACTCTTACAGTACAATTATCACCTACTCCTTTTTTTCCACCTTCTCTTTTTTTCCCCCTCTTTTACTAGGTAATGCCGAATAAGGATCTCATCAAAACAATCTTTATAGGAATGAGGTGATTTTTACCATTGATAAAAGAGTTAAAATTCTCGAACTAACTTTCTAACTATGAGTGAACATTACAGATTACCTCATTCTATGGGACTGTTTTGATAGAATCTACACTACGTCCAAAAATGCGCTGAGTAATAAAAAAACCAATAAACGTTATTATTATTTTACTGAACATGAAACCATCTTAGACATGAAAATGTCTGTAAACGTTGTGAAACATCAAATTAACCACATATATATATGCATCATGAAATAATGGCTACACGATATGCACTCTTTCACACATGTACAAGGACAAGTAAAACAACAATCTCCCTGTTTAACAGGCAGTATATCCACCATATTTTTTCAAACTTTACCGCAAGCATAGTTACGGGCACAGTAATTCAAAAAGATAAGCTTCCCAATTTAACGGGAAATATGTTTACTAGTGGTTTTCAAGCAGTTGGATATGAAGACTGCATTGCGATCCCGCAAAGTCCTTCTTCTGCGTCGACATCCCTCTCCATCCTGATATATCCGCTCTCTCCCCACGACGTCCCCCACGAGTTCTTCACCAGCCATCCCATCGCTCGCCTTCCCATATCCAACGGCAGCCACACCATGATCCAAATCAGTACCACACTCCCCAGTAAAAACCCCGCTCGAGTACAGTTGAAAGTCTAAGCTGTTAGGAATTTAACGCCTAATCCCCTAATTGCAACGGAAACGCAGTATAGAAAAGTACACCAAGATTTAACGAGGTTCGGCAACTGCCTACGTCCTCGGGAGCCACACAGATAATTTCTTATTAATTAAACAAGAAATTACAATTTAGGAGCGTATCTCAAAACTGAGATTTCTCTGATAAACACTGTAGCTACAGTGTTAATAATCAAAGGGTATGAACCCTTTCAATTCTCAACTTAAGAATAAATGATACCCCACAATATAAAACCCCAAATTAATTCTTCTCTCCCTCCTTTTTAAACCCTCTTCTTAATCTCCCCTCAAAAAACTCAGATGAGTGCTGGAGATAAGAAATCAAAATCGCAGCTGCGATTTCTTGGTCGAAAGGGATGAACGCTACTGCGTTAATTTCGTCCGCCGCCAAAGAGAGATCGGGGGAAGGAGCTCAGCAGCGAAACCCTAGCTGATGGGGGGTTTAAATAGGCGAGTGGATGGCCTGGCGACAGCCTGTCGCCAGCTGCCCACGGACGCCAAAAGGGGGGCGAACGCAGAGGGCGAAGAGAAAACGCAGAGCTCGAATGGGGGGGGTCGAACGCAGACTTCGAAGGATGCGTTCGCCCAACTCTGCGTTCGCCGAAGTGTGCGTTCACCGAAGGATGGCGTTCGCCGTCTTCGCCTGCATCATCTCCGCCATTCTCGAGCTCGTCGGAGCTCCTCCGCCGTCGGTGATAACCGGAGCTCGCCTGCGGTTCGTCGCCCACGCACGCCTGCAACATCCATGAGCTCGCCGGAGCTCTTCGTCGCCGGAGGTGAGTTTGATCTACACCTTTTTCAACAATCTCCCACTTGGAGATCAAACCGCCGTCAATCAGGCTATCTCATCAAGCTCCTCTCCTGTGTGGCTCCGCCAGCTGCCATAAGACCCGCCGTGGTCTTCTCCTTCGCTATGTTGAACGCAACATTGCGAGTCAACGTCAATCTGATAACTCCGAGGGCTTGTCTATCTAGAAGGTTCCACTCATCTGCCTTCATGGAATCTGGCTTCTTCCCCGATAGTGGTTGATACAGATTTTTCTGATACAGATAATCCTCTATCTGCATTTTCCAGAATCCGAAATCTGTTCCATCAAATTTCTCAAGTCTCATTTTTGCCTCATCTGTGGCCATGGCTCCCACTTGAATCTGACTTGTTCTAGATCGTTTCACTCTCTGATACCAGTTGTTAGGAATTTAACGCCTAATCCCCTAATTGCAACGGAAACGCAGTATAGAAAAGTACACCAAGATTTAACGAGGTTCGGCAACTGCCTACGTCCTCGGGAGCCACACAGATAATTTCTTATTAATTAAACAAGAAATTACAATTTAGGAGCGTATCTCAAAACTGAGATTTCTCAGATAAACACTGTAGCTACAGTGTTAATAATCAAAGGGTATGAACCCTTTCAATTCTCAACTTAAGAATAAATGATACCCCACAATATAAAACCCCAAATTAATTCTTCTCTCCCTCCTTTTTAAACCCTCTTCTTAATCTCCCCTCAAAACTCAGATGAGTGCTGGAGATAAGAAATCAAAATCGCAGCTGCGATTTCTTGGTCGAAAGGGATGAACGCTACTGCGTTAATTTCGTCCGCCGCCAAAGAGAGATCGGGGGAAGGAGCTCAGCAGCGAAACCCTAGCTGATGGGGGGTTTAAATAGGCGAGTGGATGGCCTGGCGACAGCCTGTCGCCAGCTGCCCACGGACGCCAAAAGGGGGGCGAACGCAGAGGGCGAAGAGAAAACGCAGAGCTCGAATGGGGGGGGTCGAACGCAGACTTCGAAGGATGCGTTCGCCCAACTCTGCGTTCGCCGAAGTGTGCGTTCACCGAAGGATTGCGTTCGCCGACTTCGCCTGCGTCATCTCCGCCTTCCTCGAGCTCGTCGGAGCTCCTCCGGAGCTCCTCCGCCGTCGGAGGTTTGTTTCCACCCCCAATTCTAACAATCTCCCACTTGGAGATCAAACCGCCGTCAATCAGGCTATCTCATCAAGCTCCTCTCCTGTGTGGCTCCGCCCTCATCATCTATGCATGAAGGCCAACTGAAGTTGCGCACAACTCCAGTTTCTGAACTGTCACCGTCTTTGTTAACATGTCTGCTGGATTCTTACTTCCTGGAATCTTTTCCAGTTTTAACACGTCATCTTCCAACAGGGATCTGATGAAGTGATACCGAAGCGCAATATGCTTCGTTCTAGAATGAAATGCTGAATTCTTCGCCAAGTGTATCGCACTCTGACTATCACTGTGCAAAACATTCTTCTCATGTTTGAATCCCAGTTACTGCAACATACTCAGCTTCTGTAGTGGATAAGGTAACGATCTTCTGTCCCTGTGACATCCAACTAACAGCTGTAGTGCCAACGGTGAATACATAGCCGGTGGTGCTTCTTCGGTGATCAACTTCGCCGCCGAAGTCTGCATCTACGTACCCTTGCACTTCTACTTCTCCCTTACCAAAGTGCAAACACTTCTGTGTGGTGCCTCGTAGATATCTCAGAATCCACTTGACCGCTTCCCAATGAGCTTTTCCTGGATTCGACATAAACCGGCTGACCACTCCCACTGCATGGCCAATATCTGGTCTCGTACAGACCATAGCGTACATCAAGCTTCCGATAGCTGAG